ATCTTTTTAAAATGCAGATTCTCATTCACAAGGTCTATAGGGAGGAGTGGGGAAAAGAAACCAGACATTTTTCATTTCTAGAAAACTGCAGATGCTGCTGCTGATCTGAGGATCATACCCGGAGTATCTTTAGATATATTCTTTCATCTCCTAGCTTTTTGACTTGTAAATGAGACAAATTCTTACCTCAAAAGTAATGAAAACTGTATGAAAAGGTAGTACAAAAACTATTATACAATGATATATATGCTACCAAGCATGAAGAAAAAAACAAGAAAATGTATCCAAATTTAACTTACTATAATTTGGCTGAAGTTGTTTACAGAATATGAAAAATAAAGGTGAAAAAATGGGCACTTCAATGTATGCAATAATCTTGGGCTATAGGTATAATCTTCTCATAATAAATTTCTTGGAGCTTCTGGTGTTTTTATCGTCTAGTCACAGCTATGAAGCCTATTCCTAGACTACAGACAGGACTTGGGAAAGAAAGAGCTGCAGCAAACCAAGCACTGTAGGTCAGTGTTATTCTAGGGAGGTTATCCCCACCTCTCTTTACTCTTTTTAGATTCTCCGTGTGTTTGTGTGCTGCCACGTCTTTGTAAGTGCGCTTTGGGTCCCGTTCCACAAAGCAAATACCACGCAGTCAAATTCTTTACAGAGTTTAAGAGACATGAATCAGGAAAGTCAATGGAATTGTCACATGAATTGTTTTTTCTTGTTAGTATATAAAATCCTTTTCACACAGTTGCTCACTACAAAGAATTTTTACTTTTTTACAAACTATATATTCCTTAAAACCTAGAAAAAATAAGCAATAAAAGCCTAATGCTAAGCCATCGTCAATCATGTTAAAAAAACAAAACTTTTAAGCATCTGAGTAATACTGCATTTCCAAAGCCCTATAAACGTATCTAAAAAGTAGGAACTCAGAAAATGCTGACTGACCAAACCATCTGTGTAACTTATTCCTTAAATAAACATTTCAAAAACTTCATACCTGATTCATCGTTGAAAGAGGTAAAGCTGATCAGCATTTGCACATTAACTTCACCACAGCCATTCACCAAAAGCCTAAAATCTTCTGCTGTTAAATCTTCTAATGAGTTTTTTGGAAGCACATCCAGTAGACCTTTCCTCATTGCCTAGAGAATTTCCAAAAGTATCCTTTTATCATTGGTACTTTTGCATGTAATCTTTATTGTTGTTAAAGCCTAATATCTAATTTTAGCAGCTTCTCTCTAAAAATACTACTTCTCCTTTTAAACTAGAGAGAAAAACATTAAGTTCTGCATTTTTAATTTCATATTAGTAGATTCAAAAGAGAGGCAAAGGGAGGGGTGATGGATAGGCTTCATTTCAAAGGTGAAGTAGTATTACACAGCAGTCATTAACTGAAGTAAATTTTTTAATTGTATTAACAACCAAGAAGGTAGTCATTAAATAAACAAGAATAGCTTCATCTGTTGAATGTGCTATCCTCCCAACATCCTAGCATAGATATTATTATGACAAAACAAACTTCCCCAACACAAACCCCAAATCTAGAAGCTAACTGAGGAATAATTACCATATGCCAAGAACTGATCTAAGCACCTTACATGTATTAATTCATTTAACCCTGTCCTCATTTTTCAGAGGAGGGAAGCAAGGCACAAAGAACTAAGTAGTTTGCTCCTGTCACACCTCAGACAGAGGGTGCTACAGCCATGACCGGAACCCTGACAGCGGGCTCCAGAGCCTGCACAGTCATTCCCAGTGCAAGGATCTGAAACATCTGCCACTGCCAGTCCTAATCTACATAAACACACATTTTCCCTAGAAGAGGAAAGAGTTAATGTACCAAGCTTGATGTTCTTCTTTAGCAGGGCTTGATTGGCCCTTGGCTGGTATCCAGGAACTTGGTTTTTGGAATATTGCCTACATGACTATCTAATGTGGATGTTCGGAATGTCTCCGGCAATGAACCCTACTGTACAACTTGCCCAGACTACTTGCGCATACAGTGTGATTTAGGATGAACATGTGCTTCCCTCTGGGAATCTGATTTTCGGTAATCATGGCTGGTTGTGAAGGCAGGAGGAATATACTTATGGGACTGGCCTCCAGTTAAAAACACTAGACTGATTCTTAAGCAGGCTTCCCTGAGCACAAGCACTGCACGTGTTGCTCTAAATCACTGCTAAAGAAAGAAGTGTGTTCTTTGTGACAGCCCTAGCCCAGCGAGAGAACTAGGGAAGCCTGCACCCCTTGCTGAGAGCCCTTGCACTGTAATAAGCCATAACCATGAGCACAACTGCCTCCAAGTCCTAGGAGTCCATCTAGTAAGTCAACGAAAGTTTGAGTGGTCGTCGACCCCCAGTCATTTCAGTCCCACGAGCATCCCTTCCAAACTTTTGCCCACAAAATTTTCTGATGATCACATGTTTTTTACAAGTAGTTTCACCTAAGAACATGAGTAATGGGCCTGGATTTGGGTGTAATTTACATTGTAAATAAATTCACTTTGGTTTAAAATTTTTGACCTTTTATAGCAAGCTGAATGTACCATGAACTAGTCTGCCACACAGGAGGACACATACAGCCTCTTCAGATCAAGTAACAGTGTTCAGAAAACACTTACGTGTAATGGCTGCTCTGCAACTACCAACATTCTGTGCTCTGCGTATTTCCGCACATATTCGTACACATTCTGGGGAGTCACTGGGATATTTACACCATTAGGAATAAGTTCAACCTGTGGAAAATTCAGCAGTGCCATTTAAAAATCTCAACAGTTCATGAAACAATTTCCTAAATTTTTAAACCTAAAGACAATTCTGTATCTGGCAAGTATCTAAGAGATACAGACCTTGTGCCCTAAATAAGTACAAAAACTCTTCTGATTCTCAATCTCTGTTTTCTCTGTTTCTCTCCCCCGCGCCCCTCTCTCTGTTTCTGTTTAACTGGTTTTTTTCCTCTGTATTTGTGTATGTCTCTTCCTTTCTTTCTTGGCTCCTATCTAAATTGTTTCCACATAAGAAAAACACAACAGACTAACCAAATGCTCTTGCCAGAATCAGAAAACTACATAAAATTGCTTTACCTGTCCTCCACCCTCTTCTTTACACAGGTCAATTGCAAATGCCAGATCCATTGCTGAGAAAACCGCATCAGCATCTGAACTCTGAGAAGCAAGGATAAGTTGCCGCAAACTCTCATACATCACAGGGTCAAAAAAAGCAAAATCATGCCAATTGACCTAAAAAAGTAATCATATGAAAATTATGAAAGAAGTGTCTTTACTGGATTCATTAGTACATTAAAATCTATGATAAAGAATAATGTGAAGATATAATGATGAAAAATAATCTCCCACTACATACAACTGATTTAAAGAGGAAACACTTAATAAATCTTTGGTTCTGATAGCACATTTAATTTTTAAAGTATGAAAAGTATTCAAATATTTTTTCAAAATATTGTAAGACTATTTTGAAAAAATTCAAAGCCAAAGTGTAATTTTTTTAAGTTCCAAAATCACAGATTTGCAAAAACCAGCACTAATTATTAAACAATGATTACGCTGAGCAACTAGTCCTAAAGTAAATATGCATCCTGTTAATCTTGACAATAATTATAAAATATAGATTACTAATTCATGATAAATCTGATGCGCAAAGGAATTCGGTAACTTGCTAAAGATCAGATCAATGGGTTAAACTTGTTATCTATTTAAGTCCATGATCTTTTCCATAAACCTTGTAACCTTGTTAAAGGCTAGACATAGCAACACTTGTATGCTGCTAAACTTTAATTCCAGTTCTTCTTTGCACAAGAACATTTTCTAGCTAGACTACTTTTAAGAATCCAATAGAGCCCTAGCTAGTGTGACTCAGTGGATTAAGCACCAGACTGCAAACCAAGGGGTTGTTGGTTCCATTCCCAGTCAGGGCACATGCCTAGGTTGTGGGCCAGATTCCCAGTTGGGGGCACACGAAAGGCAATCACACACTGATGTTTCTCTCCTTCTTTCTCTCTCCCTCCCTTTCCCTCTGTCTAAAGATAAATAAATAAAATCTTAAAAAAAAATATTTTTTTCCACCCAACTGGTGTGGCTCAGTGGATTGAGCACTGGCCTATGAACCAAAGGGTCACCGGTTCGATTCCCAGTTGGGGCACATGTCTGGGTTGCAGGTCAGGTCCCCAGTGGGGGGCACACAAGAGGCAACCACACTGATGTTTCTGTCCTTCTTCTTCTCTTTCCCTCCCCTTCTCTCTAAAAATAAATAAATAAAATCTTTAAGAAATAAAATTAAATTTTAAAAGATTCAGTAGGGTCAGTCTACGGCCATACCACCCTGAAGGCACCCCATCTCGTCTGATCTCTGAAGCTAAGAATTCAGTAGAGTCAGAGTTTGTGTTTTTATTTTAAATAATAATAATATATATACACACACATATAATATAACATTGCTGTTTTAATAGAAAACAACAGTGGGTTTGACTAAAGAAAATGCTTGAAAATGATTTACAATGGCTATAATGCTTTAAAATTTAATATTAAAATAATGCCATAAACAGTATGCTAGTATATAATTATTTTACAAAAGATAATTTTTGCAATTGTAAGAGCAGTTCAGTTCCTTAAAATCACTTACTTTTCTACCAAGCAACACTTTAATCACATGTCTATTCAATGTGATAGGGCACAGTTCATTCTGTAACAGACATAGTCCAAGAATCCTAAAAGCAAAAACAAATATTTAAATTCGAAAACAATTCTAGAAACATGCATAACCCCTCACATACATATACAATATACATACAGTATTTTGAGAAACTTTCTATAGCCTCATTTCTAATCATTATGGATTTGGATATATACATATTTTTTAAACTAATGTATTTTACAAAGTCTGATTAACTGAAATTTTTAAAAACTCGGAATATAATATTAGGGGTATTTTACCTGCCAATGTTTCGGAAACAATTCAACCTCGCCTCTGTGTTTTTGCCAGGCCGTGGAGTGTAGAACCCTCGTTTTCCCGGTTGGTGGAACAAAGGGGCGTTGTCATCGCCATCATCTGTGTCATCTAGGTCCATGTCCACCACACTCCGACTGGAGCCGTGACGCTTTCGGTTTTCCTAACAACAGTATCACAAGTTGAGTCCCAAGATTAATTTTAAAAACAAAACATACGAACTAGTCATTCAAAGTGAAGTCTGGTAAGTAGGCCAACATTCACATTTAAATCTATGTGTGTAACACACTAAAGGCACACTTGGTAATTCATCCTTTGAGAATTGTGATGTACAAAGCTTGTGCCATGTGAGGTCTGTAAATGCTCTGTTCATGTAAATTAAATCACTTAATGAAAATTCCTTAAAGATATTTTCACTGGATGTAGAATTCTGGGTTGATAATTCTTAAAGCATTTTTAGGATGATGTTTCATTGTCTTCTGCATCACAGTTTTTTATGAGAAATCCAGTCTTTGAAATCACTGTTAATCTCCATGTAAAGCACTGCTGACTCCTTGGTTTTACAAACGCAGTTTGACTATAATGCGTCTGGACATGCACCTTTCATTTTATCCTGTTCACAGTTCACCAACCTTCTTCAAATGGTAAGTCTGTCTTACATCAAATTGGGGAAGCTTCAGCTATTATTTCTTCAAATATTTTTTCTGTTGCCAAGTTCTCTTTTCTGGGTATCCCAATGACATGAATAGTTAATCATTCATGGCCCCCCCAGAAAGTTCCGTTTGAAATCTCTGTTTTTCAGAATGGATAATGTGTAACTCTTCAAACTGACTGGCACTTTGCTGTCATCTTCATTCTGTTCCTGACCTATTCATACTTTTTTTTTTTCAGACATTGTACTTTTAATTCTGAAATTTTCTTTTCATTCTCTTATAAAGTTTCTATTTCTCTGCTTAGAACCTCTATCTTGTTATTCCTTGGTGTTTTTGATACTTCTAACAACTGGGTCATCTCGACGTTAGCTTCCACTGGTTCTTTCCCTGGGAAAATTGGTCAGTGTTTCCTGGTTCTTTGCATGTTCAGTAATTCTGGAGTGTATCCTGGACTTCGAATACTAAGTTGTGAAAGTTGGGGTCTTGTGAGGGAATGCTGACGTTTTGGCTTTAGTGGGCAATCAACCAGGTTAGCTTCAGAGTGGAAGTGTCACCTCCTGTGTGCAGTGGTTCTAGCACCAATTAGGTTGCCAAAGCCTTTTATTACTGTACTGTTTGGGGCCTGTTCTGCATATTCACTTCTTCAGGTTGTCTTGGACTCAGACAGTGGTTTCTACCACAGGTTAGCTCTCAAAGCCTTTGCTCTGCCTTCCAGTTAAGATGGAATAACAGTGACCAGCTTTACTCTCCCCTCCTTGAAACGATGCCATAACAACTGTTTTCCAAGTTTTGATTTCCCTCTCCAATCTGGGTGCTACCGTTTACTTTTCAGGATCCCCAGGCAATTCTATTTTGCATTGTGTCCAGAGTCTTTAGTTGTAAGCAGTGAAAGAGATAAGAGACTGGGTTTGCTCCATCTTGGCTGAAATGAAGTTCTCAGGTAGCTTAAGAAGAAAATGCACCAGACACTAAAGAGCCTTTCCAACTGCTACACTGTACATCACATTCCACCTGCTGCTTTGACACTCAGCACTTGAGGAATAAGCTCTAGGATTCCTATTGCCTCTCCTCTGCTATTCATGACATCTCTAAATTAAAGCTTAATTCAGGCTGTGCTCAAATGGAGGCAGCCAGTGAGTAGGGGTACACTGAGCCCTAATTAAAACCAATCTTACTACCTGAATCTGTATATGACACTTATCTTTGGTTTGTTCCTACTATAACCAAGCATTTTACTTATAAAGGCATTATTTTTTCATAACTATGGCTTTCCTCCCTTTCTGTAATTCAGGTAACTCGTTACTAGTACATGTACAAAATATCTCTTACCTGTACCTTTTCTGAAGAGTCTAATAATCCAAGATCCAGGATACTATCAGCTCCATTTTCCCTAAAAACAAATAAAAACCCTTTCACATTCCAGATAACTGAAACTTCTCAAATTTAGTGTAGAAAAAAACATTTGAATTCAAATTTATAAGAATGTATAAATACATTTAAGATTTTAAATAAATAAATATCTGGGGCACTTACTAGTCTTAATACAGAGAAGTCAGTAATACATACAAAAAAGCACTAGACGTGCCATCTTTGATTCAAGATAATGAGCTCAAGTCTAAGACAGAATAAACGCGGTCTTCACAGAGGTGCTGAAACGTATGCTCGGGGGAGCATTGTGAAGAGCAGGGAAATGTTCAGAAGGCAATTACAATAGGAATTAATTTTGTAAAATTTATTTCTTTTGTGTTGTATTTTTTCCATTACCATTTATCCCTCTTATGCCACCCCCCGCAATCACCACTCTAATATCTGTGGGTCCTTCTTCCTTTTTGCTCAGTCCTCCAGAGCTGTCCGCCTGCTCTCTATCTATGAGTCTCTATTTTGCGTGTTTATATATAAATAATATATTATATTATGTAAGCATTACATAGAAAACACTACTAAATTAGCAAACCTTACACAAAAACTTATCAAATATGTATATCCTCTCAACTTTTTCTGTAACAGTCTGAACTCTGTCAGTGTGCTAACACGTCCAGAGACACGAAAGAGGATACAATAGCACACAAAGTCTAGAAGAAAAATAGTAATAGCAAAGAAAATAAACTTCCAGCAATAGTCTTTGGCTTGGTCCACTCAAAGTCTCTGAAACAGGGGAACTGACTATTAGTTCCAGTGCTTAGCCTATCTGCTTTCCACCTGTAATCTAAGTTCCTCATGACTGGGGAGAAAAAAAGATTTTCGTCTAAAATAACGAATACCTCAAAGCCTCAAACTGTCAAAGTAGCCCCAGGACAGAAGGCATATCTTCCTAATGTCATTTGTCAGCTTGGAAGAAGAAGGGTAAGTAATATATGTTACACATTTAAAATAAGACTTTTATACTGAAACAATTATATTACACAATGGGAAAGCAAAATCTTGCATGATTAAGATAAATCAGGAGGCCTAAATGAAATTGAATGCTTATGGCAAGAACTTAGGGATTACGCCCCAATTTCTGCCATGAGGGGTATTGTGATGGATAATTTGAGATGTACTTCTTACAATTTCTAAGTATCAGGTACATAAGGGACTGCTAAAACTCTTTGTAATACATATGAAACTCGGATGTCTCAATCATGGATTTTAAGCCATCTCTTAAAAAGCCATTTGAAGTCTTGTGCTGTATAGTATAAATTCTAAGATATGGTGGCATCCACATCGCCTAATCAAGTAGCTGATGCTGAAACGGAAACGCCTTCCCAACTAACTGTACACATTACCGTCCGTGCGCAATAATGAGCTCCATGGCCTCATCCACTCTTGCTCTCAGAGAATCTTCACTTGCTAGAAGGAGAAGCAACTGGGCTGGGGATAATTCCAACAACATGCCAGTGATTTTACTTGCAAATGCCTGTAAATGATGAATAAATGTTAATTGCCCCTACTCTCTGAAACCTCTTGTCTAAATTAATCTTACCCTTAACCGCAAAAAAACACACAAAAAAATGTATAAGAAACTTATATAACAATTCAGAAATTACTGAACCAGCAGGGTATTTTATTAAACTAGTTCAATTATAGAGAACTTCGGTAAGGAATGAAGAGTCCATGCGCTAGCCGAGTCTTATTAAAGCTTATTTAATATTTGTATGGCAAGCCTTTTTGTAATGCTTTTGATATTCATGAGTAAACATACAAAAATACTCAATTTGCATGTTTTTATTTCCTATTAGGGAGCCAGAAACATTTCTTTCATTTAGGTCGGAAAAAAAGAGAAAGGGGCTGCAAGTGGTGAAGGAGGAAGGAGAGAGAAAAAGATGCCTACATTAAAGGCTAAGGATTTAATGAAAGAAATATAACTGGGTTTCTCAGTTTTATTATTCTTTTGCTATATCATATACATATAGTTATGTATAAAGACAGACAAAGATCACAACCAGTTTGTTTCATATTATGAAAGAAACCTGACAGAACATTCAAAATAAAAATCTTGTAATACGTATCTGCAGTGAAGTACAATATTTGCAATGTATTCTAGCTACAGGTTGATAACAGATAAAAATCTGCTTTAGAATGTAACAATAATTTATGCAAATAAGGGTACAAATAAATACAACAGACAATTGTTTTACCACAGGTAGAATGCCAAGGCAGCATGGGGGGGGTACCAAACAGACTTCAAGCTACACACAGTGACCCTCCAGCAAACATGTTCCCTCCTAAGCTTCTTTCTTACCACAGTCCTCAACCACATGGCTTGGAGGGAGCTGACAACTTTCTAAAAATACCAACTTTAATTAAAAAAAAAAAAAACAAAAATGTTGCACAGCCGGTTAAGTGGCAGCTAAATGCACTGTACATACTGGTTGCATCGCTTGTACACGGGGATAAAGTCTTTCTCCAAGTGCCTGGCGATGTGCTGGCAGAGGATCAGGGTCGTCACTAGGGTTCCCTTCAGAGGCTGGCCTGAAGGGTCTAGTGTCGATGGAAAGCTGTCTTCTAAAGTCTCTGAAAGAAGAACAAAGCTATTATGACTTCATTTCCTCTGTCTGCAAAATGAAAACACCAGCACAACCAGTAACGAGGCTAGAAAACCCGAGCGCGTAAGTTGGTCCAGGTGCGGCACACCCCAAGGCGGTGAAATGCCTAAACATGTGACAGCTAGAAAATAAAGGTTACCTACATTTTGTCACTTGAAAATCTATACATTCACAATGCATAGTTGAATTTGATTCTAAGGGAGTAGGCCCTTAAAATACCATAATCAAGAGCCTACCCATAATTCTTAGAGATTTTAGTCAAAAGTAAAATGCCAATCATCCTAATAGAACAGTTAAAAGGTTTAAATAACATAATTGCCACATTTGTAATTTTAAAACAAATGTAAGACTGTTATGAAGTTAATAAAAGTTTCAAAAATTAAAAACTTGAGAATGACAAATAAAAAGCAAATATAATTCAACTGCCCTTGAGTTTTTAAAGCAGAATGTTTTAATAACAGTTGGTTAGACTATTTTTTAATTATTATGTATATATGCAAATATTAACTTTGATTTTCTAAAAAACAGTCCATAATTGAGATTCTTTTATTTACAGGCCTACCTTCAACTCACCAAAAAGGTAAAATTCAAGAAAAGTTACAAAACTATCTTACCTGTCCCGATCTCTCCGAGAACCTGCTCGCAAGCCACTACTCCTCCTCATTTCCCTTTCTCTCTCCCTCTCCCGATCCCGCTCTCCTCTGTTCCTTAGTCTCTGCATTAAACCTGGAAGAAAAGAGAAAGTACACTTTGTTTACATGAATGTAAATACAACTACTTTCAAGTCAATGTGAGGACAAGACCAGATATAGTAAGACATGACAGCCTTAGCTCATCTTCCTTACCATCCAGGTTGGTGCCTTTCTTTCACTCCCCCTAACGTATCTAGCATGCACTGGATGTTCACTCAGTGTTTAATGAATTTTCCCCTTGTCATGTCAAAGCTGTGGAACAATATGTAGCAACCAGGGTTATGTTACTTTCACCATAAATAATGCTGAGATTTCTTACAGCATTAGAACCATATTTGAATCTCTTCTGTATTACTGGTACTTGCTTTTAAGACTAAAGAAAGTCAGATGGTGAAACTAATGATGTGAGGCTGGGGTATGCGCCCAAATCTCTTCACACTCAATCCTTTCTAGAGCTCACTCAGCCTGCACAATAGTGGTTTTACAGCACCACAATAAAACACAGTGGAACCTGGGCTCTTGAACTTAATTTGTTCCAGAAAACTGTTTCAGAAGCAATTTGTTCGAAAACCGAATCTTGTCAACTGCGAAACGTGTGACTGATCCCACAAGTATCACCGTGAAAGGACTGTTGGGTACAGAATCAAGACCTGGCGTTTTATTAGACAACAGAGACACTGTTTTCCGTGAACAACTTGGTTGAGAACTGAATTGTTTGAGAACCCAAACATTTGAGAACCGAGGTTTGACTATCTATCTATAGTCTAGGTAAAATACAGGATTTCCTTAGTAATTCCCTCTCCCTCAATTACTTTATTCATCAACCTACAAAACTGAAACTATTCTGCCCCTACTTTACATGAATGCCAATTATCACCTATTTAAGGCTTTTATAATTTTCACACACATTTTACTTTGCTAATTGTAATCCTGAAAATTAGGCAAGGGTTCTAATCCCAAAGTGCTGATCCCCAAAGGAAGTAAAGAACTTGCACCATAATGTCGATAGAAATCTTACTATCAAAAACCAGTCTTGCTCTATTAAACAGTGAGGTTAGTGACACATCATCAACCAATTTACATTTGGTTGCAGGCTTCATTATCTCATTAGGAACGGGTAGCAACTCTACAAATCATACTTTTAATAGCGCTGCCCTAGAGAACAGTATTTTATTCTTAGGTATCTGTACCAATATAACACAGGAGTGGAAAATACTGCAGTCTGCTTGGTGAACATTTATATTTCCATGGATCTTATAAACTCCACTCCCAAACCTAGAACAACTGAGATGAGAAACTCAAAAACATAAAGATTAAGGAAAATAAATGTGGCAGTAAAACAGCAAAAGTGCTAATCTGTGGTTCAGAGTACTTTAAACAAGATTAAGTCACACTCTAGAATGAAAGTACATATATAACCACAATTATCGTTGTTTCAATCAATCAAGGAAAGATCTGTATGATGCTTGTTGCCCATAGAGTACTTACTTGTATGAGTGCCTTTGTTGGCATTTTGGATGCAATCTAGATTTGGCAGTTTTTCATTTGACAAAAATGCTTGCGCGATGGCTGTGTAAAAACTTCGAGCTACACCACTGCCCTCTCCTGGCTCATCCTTAAATGTGACCTTTACTCTGTGCACAGCCATTGGTGTTGTAGCACATCTTCGACCAAAGTGATTGTTGAGCTGCCTCATGGTCTGCTGAATAAGAAGGTCCCGATCCCGATCGACCTATTGAAACACATCAGCAAGGAGTGAGTTCAGTGTTGGAAACCACCCTGAAAACTTTCTATGTAAACTCTGAAAATCTGATTTTAGCTTTTTCTTGACAATTTAAATAATTACAAAGTGATCTGGGTTCTCAGAAACTTATACATTCCAAATAAACAACATTCTAAAGCACGTAATATTTTATGTCTCAAAGGGCACACCTCAAGTAATCAGCTTCGATGAGAGGGGAGCTGTGTCACTGGGCCCCACCAGACACCTAGTACATTAGAGGCCACGCTACCAAGAGGGGGAGCCATAGCAGCTCTACCTAACACAAAGAAACAAACACAGGGAGGCTGCCAAAATGAGGAGACAAAGAAACGTGGCCCAAAAGAAAAGAACAAATTAAAACTCCAGAGAAAGAACTAAACAAAATGGAGATAAGCAATCTACCAGATGAATAATTCAAAACACTGGTTATAAGGTTATTCAAGGAACTTAGTGAGGGCCTCAACAGCACAAAAAAGAACCAGTCAGGAATGAAGGATACACTAATTGAAATAAAGACCAATTTACAGGAAATCAGCTGTAGAATGGATGAAGCCAACAATCATATAAGTGATTTGGAACATAAGAAAGCAAAAAAACAACCAATTAAGAACCACAAGAAGAGTCCTGTCTGCTGTGGCTTAGTGGATTGAATGCCAGCCTGCAAACCAAAGGGCCGCTGGTTCAATTCCCAGTCGGGGCACATGCCTGAGTTGTGGGCTAGGTCTCCAGTGCAGGGCACGTGAAGGGCAACCACATATTAATGTTTCTTGCTCTCTCTTCCTCCCTCTCTCTAAATATAACTAAATAAAATCTTAAAAAAGAAAGACCAAGAAGGAGAAGAAGAGTCCAAAAAACAAAGATAGTGTACACAGGTTCTGGGACAACCTCAAGTGTTCCAGCATCACAGGGGTGACAGAAGAAGAGAAAGAGCAAGAAACTGGAAATCTGTTAGAAAAAAGAATGAAAGAAAACTTCCCTAATTTGGTGAAGGAAATAGAAATGCAAGTCCAAGAAGCACAGGGTCCAAAACAAGATGGATGCAAACAGCCCACTGCAAGACACACCATAATTAAAATGCCAAAGCTTAAATGCAGAGAGGGAATCTTAAAAGCAGCAAGAGAAAAGCAGTTAGTTACCTACATGGGCGTTCCCATAAGACTGTTATCTGATTTCTCAAAAAAAAATTTGCAGGCTAGAAGGGATTGGCAAGAAATATTCAAAGTCATGAAAAGCTTGCTCTACCCAGCAAAGATATCATTTAGAATTGAAGGGCAGATAAAAAGCTTCCCAGACAAGAAAATACTAAAGGAGTTAATCATCACCACACCATTATGATATGAAATACTAAGGGACTTGTTTGAGAAAAAGATCAAAACTGTGAACAACAAAATGGTAATAATAAATACATACGAATCTATCAACAGTTCAATCAAAATATAAATAACACACTAAGCAAACAAGAACAAGGACAGAATCATGGACCCAGAGAGCGTTTTGATGGCTGACAGATGGGAGGGAGTTAAGAAGTACAAATAGGTAGTTACAGAATAGCCATGAGGTAAGTCTACAGATGTAAAGTGCAGTATAGGAAATGGAGTAGCCAAAGAACTTACAAGCGTGACTCATGTATATAAACAAAGGGGTGGGGATTCCCACAGGGGAGGGGCAAAGGGGAAAAATTTGGGACAACTGTAACAGCATAATCAATAAAATATAATTTAAAAGGAAAACAAAATGAAACAAAAGAAAGGCCTTGAAGGGTAGAGTACATTGTAAAGAAACAATAGGAATGGAAACTAGGTTTCTCCAAATACATACTTCTTCTTTGTGTAATTGACCTTGCAACACTGTAGAAATTTTACATTAATTATGAAATAAAAGAACTCAACTAAAAAAAGGAAAAAGGAATTCCTAAAAACTGAAAGCAAAATGAAACAAAATGTCCTAATTTTATGGAGATAGTAGCAAAAACCACACAGATACAAATTATTTCAATTAACTTTAAAATAAAGTAACGTGACCATACATCTCCAACTGAATACACTCTAAGGGCAAAAAAACTGTGAATCTTAAGCTATTTTCAACAATCCTTTTGTGGTAGTGTTGACCTTATGATTCTAAGACTGTTGTGTGTGTGTGCTGTGAGAGAAAAGCAATAAGGGGTTTCATTAGCATTGCTGGGAATCTGGGTATCCAGTTTGGAAGAAAGGAAATAAAAGACTAAGGTGAAAATAAAACAACCTTGCGGTCCTTCATCTGTAATTTGATTGAGATTATCAGTATGAAATTATGAGGTAATTTTCTTCTTTTTTTTTATAAGGAGCATTTCCTTCCTCTCTCCACTAAAAAAACCTAGAAGCAATGACCAATCTAAGAGGCGGGAGCAACCCAAATTAGATTACAAATACAATTCAGAATACAATTCCCTACTAAAAGCAAGCAGGGCTTCTTGAAGAAATGGCTGTCCTAAGTAAGTCTGTGACAGGAAATACACTTGATGAGACATACGGGAAACTAAGCAAGTTATCAAAGATTACTGGAGTCATGTCAAAAGGACTGAGGAGCCAAAAAGGAACCAGACTCCTACTAGCCAAAAAAGAGACTATTTCAGCATCAGCTGGAACAATATCCCCAATGACATGAAACACATCCAAAACATTTAAATCCATGTTTTCATAATGATACTTAAAAAAACAACAACAACAAAAAAACACCTCATTGATCATCCCCAGAGGATGCTCGGAAACTAACTGCCAGAGATAGCCACTACTCTAAGTTTGGTAATTACCATTTATTTTCTTTAAACTTTGAATTACACAGCACATATCCCTAAACAAGATTATTAATTTTTGTTTTTATACTTTTCATAAATGGCATACTATACGTATAGTATAAGAAAATCTGAATACCTTTACCTCTAGTGATAAATCTCTTGACTGCTGATTTCTCAGTTTTTCCATTTCTCTACGGAATTTTGATTCTTTTACCTCAAAACCACCCAATTCGGTTAGGATCTTAAAAAAAATGCATGACAAAATTATTCTCTGAAATATGTTCTTATAGACAAAGAAGAATTTAAAGTGCTGAACATACGTACCGATCCAGGTTCTGCTCCCACGTCCTCCATGAACACCCGGCCGAACAGCTCTAACGAAAGGCGCCAGCGTCCCAGCAGCATGTCGTGGGAAATAACCATCCCCATGA